GTATATATATATATATATATATATATATATATATATATATTACTCCTAATTTGGGTGCCAGCATCGTTCAAAAATTCAATATTGCATTTTATTTAGTTGTGCCATTTTAGCCTGTTTCTCTCTCTCTTTTTTCTCCTTCTCTTTCTCTCTTACTCTCATTCTCCATCAGCCCATAAGGGACAGATGTAAAAACAGATTCAGATTCATGCACAAAAATCCTCAAAGGCATGATTCCCTTCGAGGAAGAATTTAAATGAGAGGACGTCATGAGATGATGTTCCGACTCTTTCCAAAAATAATAGGATACTTAGACAAATGCAGACCTCTTTCCTGCAGATAGTGAAATATGCATATCATGTTAATGAATGAAAGTGAGAGTTGAATACTTTATCACAGCAAATGATCAGCTGTATTACTGCAGAGTAGTAATTGTGAGATGAAAATCATGTTCATTAATATTCGCTCTGAAATGGCTCTTCAAAACCTCTGGCTTTATCAGAGAGGAATCGAAGAATCATTCAGTCGCCTCTTGAGATGTGAACAATAGCCAATAGCTCAAAGCCCCCAGGAGCCCTTATTAAAGCCCTTGATGATAGAGGACTGGCCTAAAGAGCCTTGCTCCGTAATCTAGGGGGCCCAGAGATCCTTTCATTCAACATTCAGCTGGGCTCTCAGTTCACCTGGAAATTATACATAGTCGTTTCACATAGTTCATTTCTATTGACCTCAAATAATGGCAGATATGACCAGGTTGCGATATAAATTTAACACTCTATTGGCTATTGTGGTTGGAGAAGTGGATTGATTCAAAAGCAGTCGGGCCACTTCTCCTCTCTATTTCTCTCTCAGCAGTCTGTCCTGTTCCCCACCCCCTCCTCAGGCGCACGTATACACTCTCTCACGCATGCACACACAATCACATGCTACAGCACATGTGAGCACCACAGACCCAGTGACTCTGGTGCAGATAAATGGCTATTGAGGGAATGTGGAATAAAGCTTGTGAACAGGCTCTCCATTGTGAGCACTGAACCCTTCAGTGAGGATCAGTAGCACATGAGATGAGCGCTGGACTGGACCACTCTGCCGTCCCATTTAACAGCTTTCTCTCTCACAGTGCTGGGACAGTGAAGTTAAACAGGATATGGAGCTTTGCACAGTATGCAAATGCTCCACAAGAGTTTTAGGAAGTTATCTTCTTACTGTTGTGCTCTACGAGAGAATGCCTATGCAAAACACAGAACACAGAAACCTCTTAAATCTGATTGATTAATGATTTTTTTTTATTGCTCACCATTTTGTTTCAAACCTATGACATTTTTTCTGCAGAACGCAAAATATATTTTGATTAATTTTTCTCCTATACAATGAATGTCAGTGGGGTCCAGTGTTGTTTTGTAAAATAGAAACTGAAATCAATAATTTTAAATTGTTTTATTTAAGTGTACACTGCCATTTAACGGTTTAGTGTCTGTAGGCTATTTTCTTTTTTTTTTTAAATAAGATGTGCTAACTAATTGATTCACATATGAATCGCGATTCAGTCTTCTAGCAATTCGCATCGATTCACAAATTTCAAAAATCGATTTTCTAGTTAATATAATAATAAACATGACATGATGTTGTCGGAACAAAAAAGGCGGAACTCAACTGCGAGAGTGGTGTAATTTCAATGCCCCGCTTATTAATAGCACCTCCCTGATGCCCGCAATTTATATACAGTATAATTACCCAACAATATAATTGCGAGAGAAAGCATTGAAATATATTTTTCCTCCCATCTCGTATTTATTCCCTTTAGGAGTTCCGTAGTACACGTCATTTCCTTTCCAAACACAGTATTCGGATTCGGGCACATCCCTAATGGGGAAGTGTAAAATATTTTTGGCATAATAGTTAATGGGAAACACTGATTTCTTAAGTCAGGATTACCCATATATAGACTGGTGTGTTTTTGCTTTTGAAGTCCAGTCTGCACAAAAACAATTGATGAAAAGTCATGAATCGTGATTAAAAAAAAAAAAAAACGTGAATCGATTTTTAATCAAATCGTGACCCCAAGAATCGATAAAAATTGAATCGTGAGGTACCGAAATATTCCCACTGCTACTAAAGCTGTATTTATTTGATTAAAAGTACAGTAAAACAGTAATTTTCTGAATATTGACATTTTAAAAAATATGTTTTCTATTTTAATACATTTTAAAGTTTTTTTATTTATTTTTTAATTATTTTAATATGTTCCTTGAGGTTTACTTATAATGTTAATAAAGTTTTTGCACCAAAAAAAACAAATAAATATGTGAAAAAATTATTATTTTCAACCCTCATTCTGACCCCCTGTCTAAAACTACTTGTTTTAAGAGGGGATCCTTTAAGGCTTGTCAGTAATCGGCCATTATTAGGATTGGCTAACGTCATTGCATAGGAAACGGTATCAACGGTACGGTATCTGTACAAAGACGCGAACGAGCTGTTTGAACCAAACGCGTCAAAGCGAACGTTCTTTCACTCCATTTGTCCTATTGACGACAGACTCAGGTGCACTGACTGTGTCAGAAAGAGAACGCACATCTGTATACTGTATCCAGTGTAGACAAGCAAGTGGCAGTGATTGTAATTTCTTTTTTCTTTTGACATGACGCGACACTTGCATTCAGCGTAATCAAGAATCAGCCGTTAAGCGACTGAACGCCAGTGAACGTCAGATGAGATGTCAAGGCATATGTCAGTAAAAATGAATTTTCCTGTCCGGTCAGCCGTTATACTGTGCACATGCTCTTCAATTGCATGCACAAATATTGTGGTGCGCGCTGTAGCCTGTGTCATTTCGTATTAAAGCGCGAATGAAACTACGAGCATGAGTGTCAGATCCGTGTCACTTTCAGCAGCTGCAGCTCTTAAAGTAATAGCAGCCAAATAACCCAGCTGCTATGATGTATGTTAATCAAAGAACAACAGAAAAGAGAGGAAATCAATAACTTTTGTAGCTTTAAAGATTCATCTATATTTAATTTAGAATTTAGTGTTTGATAACTTTATTCAATTTCTGTATATTTCCTACTTGCTGAAGGGCACAGAATATGATTATATGATTCATAATGGGTTTATGTGAAGATTGTTTTAAGTTCACTTAAATTAGAAGTTATTTTTAAGTCTAATAAATGTTGATAGTTCTCAATTATACTGTAATGTTGAGTGGCTATAGTCAGTGGTTAAATATTAAATATTAGGAAAAAAGAACAATTTCCTAGAAACATCAGTAGTATTGGTATCAGTGATACTCACCTTCAGTCATAAAAAAGATGCCATTAAACAAATAAAAAAATTATAATGCCTTTATGTTGTTTCTACATTAATTTGAAGATTGAATGTGAAATTATTGCAATATAAAATTATATTTAAAAACTTTAATGTTAGGGGGTAAATCGTGATTAATTTCAGGAAAAATGTGTGATTATAAATGTTTATATTGACCTCATACATGTAGAGTATGAATGGTGGTTTAGGACAAAAAAATTTTTTATTTTTTTTTTCAAAATATCTTCTTTTATGTTCCACAGACGTCATAAAGGTTTGGAACAACATAAGTAAATGATGACAGAATTTATATTTTTGGTGAACTATCTCTTCAAGGGTAATCAGGTTTCTTACAAAGCAAGATATGTGAAGACTTAATCTGTGTTAATCTCAGCTGGTAGTCATTACTTCTGTTCTGTTCTCTATTTCTAACTCGTACTGTGTGTCTCTCTGTCTGATACTCCCTCATTTTGTCTTTACCCTCTCTCTCATTGGTTCAGGCTCTCCTGCGTTGCCCAGCAACATGGCATACTTTGGTAGTGCTAAAGATGATGAAGATGTAGATGAGGAAGAGGAAGAGGAAGAGGAAGAAGACAGTGTTAGCAATGCCCCTGCTTCCTGCCAGTCCACTCCACGCAAGAGCAAAGGACCCAACAAATGCATCGCCAATGGTCATGGTACTTACACTCCTCAAACACACTGAATAACCACAAACACACACACTTATTCTCATAAACTTTATCTTGCTTTGTGTTTTATAATCTTTTTTACTTAAAATAGCGATTTACAATCCATTTTACTGTGTAGTATGTGTAGTGTTCAGTGTATTATTGCACTGCCGGTAGCAGACAGGCTGGACATTTGGTTCCATTTAAGGACCCCAGTGAGGTGTGTTACAGTCCTGCCTCTTTCCACACCATACAGTTAATGAGCTGTGACTATATACAGCCCTCACTGTCAGACTGACATTTGCTCTATACCATCCATATAACACAAGGTATTTAATATCTCATATAGTATGCACACATGCAATATAATATAATATAATATAATACAATAAAATACAATACAATACAATACAATATAATATTCAAAGTTTTAAAGTCAATAAGATTTATTAAAAGAAGTTAACACTTTAAGCAAGGACATATTAAATTGATCAAAACTGACATTTATACATTTTATACAAGACATTTATAATATTACAAAAGATTTACATTTCAAATAATTGCTTTTCTTTTGAACTTTCCTTTCATCTAAGTATCCTGAAAAAGTGTATTACAGTTTCTACAAAAATATTAACAGCACAACTGTTTTCAACATTGATAATAAAAATAAATGTTTCTTGATCATCAGCATATTAAATCAGTATATTAGAGTGATGTATGAAGGATCATGTAACTGAAGACTGGAGTAATTGCAGCTGAAAATTCAGTTTTGCTATTACATGAATAAATTACGTTAAATTATATTAAAATAACATTTTAATTTGTAATAATATTTCACAGTTTTTACTGGATTTTTTATCAATAAAATGCAGCATAAATAAATACATAAATAAATAAAACAATTTAACATATAAATTGTTGACTATTTATGCTATATTTAGGCATACTGATTGAATTATTTTTGCATTAATTTTCATATCTCTTCTTATTATTAATGATTTCACTGGTCACTGAGCGTGTTTCCTCTTTCTCTTTAGATTTCCGACATATTTATAGCTAACAGATCAGGCCAAGCTAAATTTAGCCATATAATAAAGTGATGAACGTCTTTTGAGTGCTCTCCCCATTTCTTTCAGTCTCTGGGTTTGTAACTGGACCCTAATGCCCACTCAGCAAAATCTGCAGTGTAATCTGACACCTCAGTAACCCAATACTGCTCCACATACTCAACACATGTCTGAGGGGCTCCGGACAAACTACAACCATACACCCGTCACCTTGCTGGGGTTTCGAGGTCAGATTGGACCTCGAGAATAAAACACAGTGTTTGTGTCTAAAACTGGGAACAGCTTTCAGGGTTTTTAAATTTAGATCATTCCTCTCAAATGCGCCCCATGCTTATGAGATCCTTGAACACTGACCAAGATTTTTCAGTGGAAGTTCTGCTGCTCTAAATTCAGTCTCTGCGCAGTGTGTTGTGTCTGTATGTGGGATATCGTGCTGAAAGGACACTCTGTGTGTTACCTAATGAAAATAGGAGTCATGTTGAGCATCCATACTTTATCTTTATAATGAAACCAGAGCCACTTCTCCTTACATACTGTACAAGACCACAGGCTAAATATGACACTTTTACGTGCGCCATTGGCCAAGCTCCAAACTGTTTGAATGATAAGTTGGTTCCTCTAGAAGCTTTCATTTACTAAAGTGACCCAAAGAGCCTTTCAATACTTGTTTAGTGTTTTACTGCTAACATTGGACTCTCTGTTCAGTTCACCATCTGTTTAGTTAATGGAGGCTCAAAACTTTGAAAACTTTGCTTCTTTTGTCCAAGTGCAATGTGGGTGGCTCTCAGGAAGAATGAAAATCTGTTACAGTAGATTGTCATGCAATATTAAGTTGTTCTTACAGTCGAAAAGCAGGAGATTAGTCTTTAACACAGCTAAAGTGAGCACTTTTAGTGGCATTCAGTCATTCGTGTTACTGGGTTTCGGTGATTTATTGATGTTAGATTGAGAGCTGTAAGCAGCTTTGCTGTTACAATATTTGAGCTTTAAAATCCCATAAATTCTAGTGTGCTAGACAAGGCCTCTATGCAGACTCTGTTAGCTGCTTGGCAGTCTTCTTTTATAAGAGCAATTTACAAGTCAAGTGCACAGAAAATGGAAAGCAGAGCAGTCAGGTACAGCAGGACTATTCAGCAGAAAGACTCAAACTTGGGTCTTTTTCCACTACAGTACTAAATCATCTGGTTTAGGTCACCTAGGAGGGAAACCATCTGGTTAAGTCAGCCAATTCAATGCCTATAACCATCAGTAATTGTGCACCCATAGTGGATCCTAATATAGACAAAAAAGCATCTAAATAAATATATTTTCTTTTACTTTTAGATATTAATATACCTATATACACTAACAAAATGTGCTTAAAGACTTCTTAATATTACATCTGTTGTATGCTTTCTCCTCTACCAGTATTTAATGGACAGACACGAGCTACTGAGGAACACAAGAGCAGTTTAAGGGCCAGAGGGAGAGACCATGGGAAGGAGAAGAATTCTGTAGCATCAGCTAGGACCTCCACTACACACAATCTGCGACCCAACAGGGCTGTACGAGAACAAAAACAACAGGTATGGCTGGATTTATGTTTTGTTTTGTGCTGCATTGCTTTTTGTTTTGCATAGCGTTGCGTTCGATTTTGTTTTGTGCTGCATTGCTTTTTGTTTTGTGTTGCGTTGCTTTCTGTTTTGTTTTGTGCTGCATTGCTTTTTGTTTTGTCGCGTTGCTTTCTGTTTTGTTTTGTTTTGCGCTGCATTTTGTTTTGTGTTGTTGCGTTGCTTTCTGTTTTGTTTTGTTTTTGTACAGAATTGTTTTCTCATGATCCCAACTTAATTTTCTTGTGATCTCAAAATAAAGTTTTCTCCTAATCTTGAATTAATTTTTGCATGAGAAAAATAAGTATTGCTCATCATTTCTCGGGTCAACTGCAAACCATTTAATCAGCATCTGTCAAACATCAATCGAAAATTGACCACATGTTCAGAAATTCAGATCACTATAGTATTATTTTACAACAATAAAGTTGTAGCTGCCTTCCTAAGTGCATGACACTGATGTGGAAGTGGTCTGTCACTGACAGACATATACTGTAGCTATTTGAGCTTAAGTGAGTCCCTGATGAACGGGAAATTGGATTTGCTCATCTATGATACAGCAGGATATACAGTATATTTCCGGTAACACTTTACTTGAAGGGGTGTGCATAAGACTGACATGACACCTTCATAATCATGACATGACACATGTCATGAATATGAAGGAGGTTTTATGCATGTTTATGACAACTATCATTAAGTGTCATTCGCTCAGTTATGTAATTTTTTATGCAAATATGACATTATTTGACCTAACCCTAACCTAACCCTACCCCTACCCTTACCCCTAACCATAGCCCATAACAAAGACATCTCAAACAATGTCATCTTTGCATTAAAAATTACATAACTGAGCGAATGACACTTAATGACAGTTGTCATAAACATACATAAAAACCCTTCATATTCATGACATGTGTCATGTCATGATTATGTAGGTTTCATGTCATGATTATGAAGGTGTCATGTCAGTCTTATGCACAACCCTTCAAGTAAAGTGTAACCATATTTCCTTTAGAAATGGCTTTTGTTACCTCCAGACTGAGAAATACAAGAGAAAATCATTTTCAAGTTGAAATTTTGAGAAAATTAGTTTTGCTATGTCAAGATCACAAGAAAATAAAGTTGTGGAAAGCTGTGGAAAAAAAAGCATTGTCTCTTAGGGATTCACAGATGTATAAATGTTGAAGATAAAATGAATTTCAGAAATATTCTGATTTTATGGAGGTTTTTGAATTATTTATAACCTAAAATCCTACTTCTTAGTAAGAACTGCTAAGCCAGTTTACAGTAGCATATTTCATAATCTAGACTCTATTATTACAGTGAGATTTGTTTTTATATGCTGGTATTTGTTGCTGTTATACACCACAATATATGCTTAGCTGCTCTCAGAGTGAATGATGAATAATTGAAAAGCAAAAAAAATTTCCGCTTTGCTTTCAAGAAATACTGTGCCATCTTTACACACAGCATTAACTATTAGAACATTATATTCCAGTGCACAGTGTCATTTGCCTCCGTATTACTGTCTGCTAATTCAGTCAGTACAGAACGGTGGGATAATAGAGACTATGTAGGACCCATTTGTGAGTGTTCATCAAAATTTCCTCCCCTTCTGCCAGAGCGTCCTATGGGCTCAGAGCAGCATACGGTTAGCTTTACCCTATCCCTACTATCCTGCAGCAGGCCTATAGCAACACATGATGTCATCTGTCCTCCACCCAACCCCCCTCTCTCTCCACACACAGTCAAATCCAGTGGAGTGTGCAAGTACCTCGTACTCGGGATTGTGTCCAATTTGTGTAAACATGAACTGTGTCTGCATGTGGTGGACCATTTGTATATCTGTTGTGGTTTCTGTCAAGAACTTTGGTTTTGCAGAGAAATTAATCGTCTCCCATCCCCCATCGCATGCAGATGGAACAATCATACTACATGGCTCAGGTCACGTGCGTGAGCTCCCTAAAGAATGAAAGAACAGCTCCACTGAGCCCCCTAGTGGAAGAATATGGTCATTCTGAGGGAATAATTGGAGGTTGCTGTTATGCATTACATTTGAGGAAGTTATGTTTGCTTCTTCTTGACAACAACACTCTCAGCCCTGGCCTTTAAATCACATGTCATCAGTAAAAAGAGAGCAAACACCAAACTTATGTTGTAGCACTGCAGAACCACAGTGGGTACTGTAGCTCAGACAGGATCATAGTTTTGAATTTCCAAGGAATGCATGGACTGATAAAATTGATTGAATTTGATTTAAGTTGCTTTGGATAAGTGTCAAATGCATAAAATTAGGGCCAATGACATGTTTTTTTTTTTTTTTTTTTAGTTTTGAACATATATTTAAAAAAATTCAATTTATACTTATAAAGACTTGAATACACCTCCTCCGTCATGAGAATGTTTTTAATTTCTTTTTCTGTTGGTTTTAATTTAATTTGGTATATTTTAATTAATAAATAGGAGAAAAGCATTATTACAGATATTTTTGTAAAGAAAAAATTGTAAGTAGTTTTCCATACTCTTCTATTATTTTTAATTAAATTATTAATATTAAAATAATTCTTAAAAGAATTTAAGATCATAATAAATACTTTATTAAAACTGCTTCACTGTTTTTGTTATTGTGAGTTTATTATTATTAACATTTTTATTAATATAAAAAAAAAACATTTGTCTGCAAAATCAAGCTCATGCGGTGCAATCAATGTCCAGAAACATAAAAAAAAAATTATGTCATAGAGTAGACCCTTGAAGACTATATTTCAAGGTCAATAAGTCTCTTAAAATATCAGATAAATTGGCAAATTTAGTTCAGGTTGTAAATTCTGGTGAGCTTCTCCAAAAAGTGTGTGATGTTTATGAATTATTAACTGATTCAAAAGTATAAAAATAATTATTAAAAACTGAAGAGTCAATAAACCTTTCTCGAAAATGGTATAAAGTTTTTTTTTTTAATGAAACCAACATGAATGCAAAGAATACCTTGTCACGCGTTTTAAACTAGATAAAATTTAAAAAATGTCACACAGCGGCTTGTATGTTGTATTTACTGTATATTCAGTTTTCTAGAGTGTAAATAAATGAAATAACACAAGTCATTTCTGTCATACCTCAGCCCTCCAAAATGAACAGAACATCAGGAGCATCCGCTGTCAGTTCTAGGAAGACGAGAGAACTCCGTAGTCCCACGACCAAAGCTGTGAAATACCCCAAGGGCCACGTGACTTACACCAAAGCCAGACTGCTCAAAGAGGCCAAGCTCAGCCTGAGCACACATACACGCCACACCCACACACACCCTCAGCACTCTAACTCAGGAAAAGCCCAAACCAGCCACGCCAAGATGCAAAAACAGGTGCTATCACCAGCAACCGCTGGGAGGCTGTGTGGGACGGACACTTTCCCACCCAGACGAAATGGACTGAGACAGTCAAAGAGGCAGTTGGAGTTAGCCGGGGATAGTCTGACCAGAGCAGAGGCCGAGGTTAAGAGGGTCAAAGTGCAAGTGGTTCCCTTGGAGACGCGGAGTAGGAAAGCAGCTCAGGAGACGCCGGTGAGATCGCAAATGGCAGGATCACAACGGCCCAAACGGGCCTCGGCAGGGAAGCTCATGTTCACTAAACAGATGCACTGTAAAGCCACCGCTCTGGCCAAGAACAGCCCCACTACCTCAACACGAGACATTTTGAAGCCAGCCAACTCCCCCAAAATATCAGAGACCCCCAAAACAAGCAATTCTCTAAAACAAGGCAATCCTTCTAATACGACTGAGCCCATCAACCAAGCTGAGCCTAAAGAGCGAGGCCGGCGCAGCGCGGAGGTCACGGAGGTTCCCGTTTTCTGTCCCAGCACATGCGACTTCCACGACCTGTTGACTTACATGGAGTTTGTGCGGGGGCAAGCGGAGGCGTATGGGTTGTACCGGGTTGTTCCGCCGGCAGATTGGCGTCCTGAGTGTAAGCTTAAAGAGGAGATGCGCTTCGTCTCGTACGTGCAGCATGTGCACAAGCTGGGCAGACGCTGGGGCCCAAATGTACAGCAACTGGCCTGCATCAGGAGACACCTGCGGACACAAGGCATTAATATGGAAGAGCCTCCACTTATAGGTAAGAAGTGCTGGACAGGAAAACATAAATTTTGTGGGCATAATTGACAATCAGAGACAGTGCTGGGGATTAACTAAAAGTAGCAATGCTACTAACTTAGCTACTTTTTTAAGATAAATTTTTTGGCATTTTTGCCTTTATTTTGATATGATAGTAGCATAATGACAGGAAGTAAAGAGGGAGAGAGAAGGGGATGGGATCAGGAAGGGTCCTCGAGTCGGGACGCCGAAAGCGCAACACAGTATGTCGGCATGCTGCCCACAAGGCTACTGGTG